AAAAAAAAAAAACAAAGACGCAATGAGCACGACACGAAACACAATAAAAAATACATTATTTAAAAAAAAATTAAATTTGGACCCATTATCGTATTTATCATAAAATAAAATAAGTATGAAGAAAACACGACAATAAAGTATGAATTCGAACACGAACACAAACACAAACAACTTTGATTTTTTATTTCTTAAAAAAGTATTAAACATCAAGTTTAAAATTGAAATTTGAACTACTATCACGTTCTTACAAACCAAAATAGAAAAAAAGACATCATATGTTTATGTTTAAATCTAAAAAAGCAAAAGCGGTTGAGATCAAGAAAGCCAAGCAATAATCAACAACCTAAGAACTAAACAATAATATACATTGTCTCCACAAAATTCAACTTCCCCTACTCTCTCTAATCCACTTCTAACCAATCCCGATAGCTCATTTTCACCTACTTTCTCCACACACACACACACACACACACACACACACACACACACAAAACTTTCATATAAACCCTAGACACAAACCAAACACCCCCTTCAATAAAAAAAAACCCCCCAAAAATGAATAAAACATCAAAGAAAACAAACAATCTTAATCCGCCGGATTACTTTCCCGGCGCGTGCCTAATGGACGTCCGGTGCAGTTTCCACACGCTCGTGGTTCTTCTCGTGGCCGTTTTGGTGGTCGGAGCCGTTTACCTAACGACCGAGAGCGGCTACTTAGTGCAGGAACACAGACTTAACGGTTCGACAACAACGTCGAATTCCGGGCCGTCCTGCGATTTATTCTCTGGAAAATGGGTTTTCGACAACGCGTCTTATCCGCTGTACGGAGAGCACGAGTGCTCGTTTATGTCCGACCAGCTGGCGTGCGGCAAGTTCGGAAGGAAGGACTTGGATTATCAACATTGGAGATGGCAACCACACCATTGTGACCTCCCGAGGTTTTGTTTCGACCGAGCCTCATGATATTCACACGGTCATCGTAATAATTTTTCGAATCTTTGATTTTACTAGGAAAATCGAATCTTTCATATTTTTTATGGGTACATTAGATCAACAAGAACTCAATGAAGCTTTTTATAAATAAACAAAATACGAGTGAGGATATATTTTTTATTCTTTTTTTTTTTATGGTAAATGATTTTTTGAGTATTACGGTTTTTTTTGTCTATCTTAATAAAGGTTCAATGCTACAGCATTATTAGAGAAATTGAGGAATAAAAGGCTTGTGTTCGTTGGGGACTCTCTTAATAGAGGGCAATGGGTTTCTATGGTGTGCTTGCTTGACCACGCAATCCCACATGGTCGCAAACACATGCACAACAATGGCAGCTCTTTAATCACCTTCACAGCCAAAGTAAGTCCACATTTTTCATTAATTATTACCAATTTGATTTTGAAAAATGTTCATTTTGTTTTACTAGTATTATTATTATTATTATTATTATTATTATTATTATTATTATTATTATTATTATTATTATTATTATTATTATTATTATTATTATTTCTTCAATAGTTCAAAATTGTAATTAAGTTTGTTAATTCCAATTCTTATAGTACGAAATTTTATAAATTATAAATTAACTATATTCTCATAATTTATAAAATTTACCAATTTTAGGACATTTTGGTTGTCCGAATATTGGCTGGAAATTGACACATCTTGTTTTTTTTTAAAAAATATGATTACTATTAGTTAATTTAATTTTTACGAGTTATATGACCAATTTTGAATTTTTAATTATATGTACGTATAAGACTATAATTTAAATATTTTCTTCTTAGACAACTAAATGAATATTTGAAATAAAAAAAAAAAAAATGTGACATATTTTGTGATTACCGTAGGAATACAATGCGAAAGTAGAATTCTATTGGGCCCCATTGATGGTGGAGTCCAATTCAGATGACCCAGTGAGCCACCGGCTACCGGACCGCATAGTTAGAGCCCAAGCCATTGAAAAACACGGCCGCCATTGGACCGACGCTGATATACTGGTTTTCAACACCTATTTGTGGTGGCGAAGGCCCAAAATGAAAGTCTTGTAAGTGAAAATGCAATAAATATAATTGTTCGAAGATTTCGACCTAAATTCGTTTTTTTTTTACTATTCGATTAGCATGCACATATTAGATCATTTTTTTTTTTTTTTACCGTGGGATTAACATACACACACGGGAGTATGTATTAATCCAACGCTGAAAAACTCGATAACTGCACCGCACGAATTCGTTTGTAAGATGAAATCAACTTAAACAAGTCTTCAATCGTTCTTTTCGACCTAAATTATAAGAGAAGATTCGACCTTACACACACAACTCGAAGTCTTGTAAGTGTGCAAGAAAATGTAAATAACAGAAGACTCTCAATACTACACAAAATTACAGTGCAGTTATCTGATTTTAACCGTTCGACCAATACAGTCTTGTGTATGGTGAAGTAGTCTATCCAAAATAGTTTTCAATTTTTATTTATTTATTTATTTATTTATTTATTGTTTTGTAATGTGAATTATGAATATTTTATTTTAGGTGGGGCTCATTCAATAATTCAGATGGGATATACAAGGAAGTGAACATGCTTCGTAGCTATGAAATGGCGCTAAGGACTTGGTCCGATTGGTTGGAAATTCACGTCAATCGTTCCAAGACTCAGTTGTACTATATGAGCATGTCCCCAACTCATGAGAGGTACGAACACACCAATTTACGTGGAAATGTTACGGTCTCGTTATGGTACCATCCCGTCGAACGTTTTAACCGTTAAATCACCTGTCTTATACTAACTACAAAGTGTGATTGAGAATTACAACTCGACTAGAACCCATTTATTTTTTATTTTCGAAATAAAAATTAATGCACTTTCTTGAATATATGTTTATCTAACAAATATATATATATAATTATTTCAAATGAACCAATCATTATTTAAAATGTCCAAGATATTGATGTTATTTTTTTTTAAGTAGGTAAATATGTTACAACTTATCTCCACTCAAATTAACCAAATAATTAATGCAAAAAAAAAAAGAATATTTTACCATAAATTTCATATTTTATTCGCTTTGCAATTGCAGGGCTGAAGAATGGGGAAAATCCAACGGCCAAAATTGTTACACGGAGACTGATTTGATATCCAAAGAAGGTTACATGGGAAAAGGTACAGACCCAAACATGATGAGAATAGTGGAAAATACATTAGATGAGCTTCAAAACAGAGGATTGAATGTCCAAATGATCAACATAACACAACTCTCAGAGTACAGAAAAGAAGGCCACCCTTCGATTTACCGAAAACAATGGGAGCCTCTAACCGAGTCGCAAATTTCAAATCCTTTATCGTACGCAGATTGTATTCATTGGTGTCTCCCGGGAGTTCCCGACACGTGGAACGAGCTTTTGTACGCTTATATTTCTAATTACCACGAGTCGGGCCAAAATATTTGATCTCAATCTGTTAATAAACCAACACTTTACAAAGGTAAAGTCTTGATTTGTTGTGTCCATCGTCTGCTGGCTACATAGCTGAACTGTTTAATTCGCTAGTAAAGTTTCTAAGTCAAACGATAACTTCTATTTTAGAAGAAATGAATGAAACGAAATCAAATGAGTAAATGCGTATAATAATGGTATCATCTTAATAAGGCGAAAAGATATTTCGGCTGCTTAAAGACTAAAGATCGTCGATTACTTAAGAGTATTCTTTTCGATTGTTACTCGCATAATTTTGTAAAACCACGTGCGATATATCGTTATATGAGAGTAAGAATAACTAACATTTCGAAATGAGAAACACATTTTTCTTTTGGGAAAAAATGTAAATGCAGAAAAATAAAGAAACATATATACTCAGTTAATGAGTCAATGTAGCTTGTATACATTAAGCATAAAGCTCAACCTTTTTTTTTTTTTAAACAAAATTTCACCTTAAAAAATGGTTCTAAAGAAATGGGAGATTTTTTACAAATTCCGGCTGCCAGAAGGGCTGGTCGTGGTGGCCCTGCTGGCGGTTGCCGCCGTTTATCTGAATCGGGACATTAGTTATTGGAAAGTCGTGAAAAAGAATTTGACGGCCGTGAAAGAAGAACAAACGGTAAAATGTGATCTTTCTACGGGGAGATGGGTTTATGACAACGTGTCGTACCCTCTTTACAAGGAGGACGAATGTTCGTTAGGCGAGAATTTTTTCGCATGCGAAAGGTATGGGAGAAAAGACTTCGAGTATCGAAATTGGCGATGGCAACCTCGGCATTGTAACATTCCAAGGTTTTTCAATTTTTTTTTTAACAATCTTATATAAATTGTACATTTTGTTATGCAATTAATCTACCCCTTTTGAGCATTGTGAAATTATTTATTTATTTATTTATTTATTTATTTATTTATTTATTTATTTATTCCTCCTATGTTTATAAAGGTTCAATGCCATTGCATTATTGGAGAAATTGAGGAATAAAAGGCTTGTGTTTGTTGGGGATTCTCTTAATAGAGTGCAATGGATTTCTATGGTTTGTTTGATTGGCAAAGCAATTCCTGGTGGGCCCGAGTCTCGTGTACACAACGATGGCAGCAGTTTATTAACTTTCACGGTTAAAGTAAGTCCACAAATAACTTTTTACTATTTACAATAAATTGAGGAAATGCTACGGCCACGTTACGGAACCGTATGGGTTTGTAACCGTTAGATTATCATGGAACCGTCGAGGATAGTTGATTAAACGGTTATAAACTCTGACGGAATGGTTCTGTAACGGGACTGTAGCATCTCCGATATAACATGTTCAGTAATTAATAAAAATCGACTACGAAAAATCATAAATGCCCACTTAATAGAGTAGAATGTTCATAATTTTAGGATTAATAAGCTACTTTAAGTCTTTAACATATATGTTGATATAGAGGATGATGAAATGTGACGTGTAAGTTTGATAGTTGTCGATAGTGATGTAAATGAATCGAACTCAACCGAGCTTGTGTTATTCGTGCGAACGTTCGGTTTGTTTATAGTTCTAGTTGTTGATTTAAAAAGTAATGTGTTGTGCAAAGTAATAGAATTATAAAACGTGTCATCATGTTAAATTTTACGTCATCTTTTATGTCAATGTAGCATGACCAATAATTTGATTTGTTACGTTGTGACCTGACCCGAAGGGTACGGGCCGAGTTTGAACATGATAAGTTCTGACCAAATTGACATTTTTATTTAGAGCGATGAAAATAAAAAACAATAACTTTTTTATTTTTATTTTTTTATTTGTCAATTTTTGTAGGAATACAATGCGAAAATAGACTTCTATTGGGCTCCATTAATGGTCGAGTCCAATTCCGATGATATAGCAAACCATCGGGTAGTGGATCGCACGGTAAAAGTCGAGGCAATCGAAAAACACGGCCGCCATTGGGCCGATGCCGATTTTCTGGTTTTCAACAGCTATCTTTGGTGGCGCCAATTGCCCAAAATGGAAGTCTTGTGAGGGCTAAATGTTATTTTATATTTTTTGAAATAAAATGAGCATTTCTTACTTTAAAAAAAAAAAAATTAATTCTTGAAATTATATTTATTAATTTTTAGATGGGGCGCCTTCAATAGTTCAGATGGGATATATAAACAAGTGGACATGCAGCGGAGCTATGAAATGGCCCTTAGAACGTGGGCCGATTGGTTGGAATTTCACGTCAATCGTTCCAAGGCCCAATTGTTTTTCATGAGCATGTCCCCAATTCATGAAAAGTATGCACCTCGAATTCATTTTAAGTTTTAAATATTTTTAAATAATTTCATTATTTTTTATATTTAAAAATAGCATTAATCACTCGACAACTTACTCGTCTCCTATATACAATTTTTGGGATTTTAAAATCATAATGTATTTAATTTGGATTTTTTAAAAATTTATTTTTTTAAAACAAAATTATCATGTATTATTTGAGATTTCAAAAAATGTTAAAAAATTATGACATATTCAATTTATTTATCCACTTGATCGGTTTTTAAGACTTACTGAGATTTTCGAAATATAAACCATACAAGAAATCTCATATCAAATCCTCCCTTCATATATAAAATTTTCTAGAGATTTCTCTTAAATTAAAAGTATTATAAGGTCTCTGATTTACAAATTCTTGAAATGTAGCTTAAAGTTTTCAAACAAGTGCACCTCATTAATATTATTATTATTATTATTATTATTATTATTATTATTATTATTATTATTATTATTATGCCAATTTTGCAGGGCTGAAAAATGGGGAAAACCCGCAGGACAAAACTGTCACATGGAGACACATTTAATAACCAAAGAAGGCTACATAGGAAATGAAGAAACAGACACTAACATGATGACAACAGTTGAAAAAACAATAGATGGGCTTCAAAAAAGAGGTCTCAAAATCCAAATGCTCAACATTACAAAGCTCTCCGAGTACAGAAAAGATGGCCACCCTTCGATTTTTCGAAAACAATGGGAACCTCTAACCGAGTCGCAGATTTCGAACCCTAAATCGTACGCAGATTGCATACATTGGTGTCTGCCTGGAGTTCCCGACACGTGGAACGAGCTATTGTACGCTTACATAGTCGATGATGTATTGCACGTCGAAAAAGTGAATTGAAAATGTGATTAATTACACGTCTGTTGAAATTTTTATTTGAATTAGTCATGCAAGTTTCATGTATGATGTATGTAAGAATTATTTCATTTCTCAATTCATGTCATGTAGAACTATCACTATAAGAAAATTTCCTTTTTAGTTAATTTAATAAATATTATTTCAAGATGTACATAATATTAGCTCTAAAATAACCATTTTTTTATATATGTTAAAAAAGCTCTTCTCACTCCACATAGATTGCCGGAGGGAAAATTCTACAATAACATATTTCAATCAAATTCTAACTCTAACGGATATTCCAATGAAATAGTTTTTGTTGGAACGATTCCAACGGATATTCTATTATTTCCAGTGGATTTTTGCTGGAATTTGATGATTTCAAAGACCGTTTTTCTATCGTTTTATTACCGTTGAAAAATGTGTTTTTTGATGCGATTTTAATTGTGGCGTTTTTCGAGCGTTAGAATTTAATTCTTGATGTGATCTGAAACAAGAACCAAAAGAAAATGTATTAATGTACCAAATCATCATCAATGAATGTAAACATCAAATTATTAATTTTATAGTATCTTGTTAAGTATAATATCTCCATTTGTTTAAAGAAGGTACATAAAATTCATTACTTTTTTTTTTTAACTTCAATGTTAATAAATTTTCCACATAACTAGCACGTGGGATTAATGAGACTTTTAGAACAAAGAACATATGTATGATCAAAAAGCAGAACAATTTAAAGAAACAATAAAAAAAAAAAAAAAAATGGTTGTTAAGACATGGGAGACATTCTTCAAGTTCCATCAGCTTTCAGGACTCGTCCTGTTGGCCCTAGTGGCCACAGTTCTTTACGCGAACCGAAACATTAGTTATTGGAAGGCCGTGAAAGAAAAACGAACGGCAAATTGCGATTTTTTCAACGGGAGATGGGTTTATGACAAAGGGTCGTCATACAATGTTTACAAGGAGAACGAATGTTCGTTCATGGAGCTTAGTTTCGCGTGCGAAAGGAATGGGAGAAAGGATTTCGAGTATCGAAAATGGCGGTGGCAACCACATTATTGTGACATTCCAAGGTTTGTATTTTTATTTTTTTTTATAAATTTTTTGATTAGGCCAAAGGGTCAAAGGCACATATTGTTATTCACAAATAGGTTTGATGGGAATGCATTTCTGGAGAAAATAAGAGGTAAGAAAGTAATGTTCGTCGGTGACTCGTTGAATCGAAACCAATGGGTCTCAATGCTTTGCATGATCGAGCCATATCTTCCTCCATCGGCAAACAAGACGTTGACCTTGGCTACCCGATTCAACTCCTTTTACAATGAAGTAAGTCGATTTTCCAATTGATTATGAATTGTTCTTTTATTTTTTTCTTGTGATTTAGTTATTTTTAAAGTTAGCAACAAGATGATCGAACAATAATATATCCGCATGTTTTTCTATTGGTTCGATAGCGTGATCTTGAGGATTCTTTTCATTTCTATTGTTCTGTTTATTTGTTGTTCTTGATTTTTTATTTATTTTTTTTTTTTTGGGAAGGAATACAATACGACGATCGGCTTCTATTGGTCGCCATTTTTGGTCGAGTCGAATTGTGACGACTACCTTATGCACCGTAACTTTCAAAACCATGTTGTAAGAATTGAGGCCATCGAGAAGCATGCCTTGCAATGGAATGATGCAGACATAATCATTTTCAACTCCCATGTTTGGTGGTTAAATCCAAAAGTGACACTCTTGTATGTATCCATGATTGCCTCACATTTGTTTAATTCCCATGTTCGGTGGCTAAATCCTACATTTACACTCATGTAACTACATACGAATTCTCTCGGCTCGAGCAGCCAAAAATTGAGCTTGAGATCGGCTCGTTTATCACTATTAACGAGTCGAGTTCGAGCCGATCCCGAGCTTTAACGAGTCGAACTATAGAAAATATATAATTCTCTTTTCGAGTCGAGTCGAGCCAGACTCGTTTAATTTAACAACACTACACACATGATGATGATTAGGTGGGGATCATTTGCGAGTCCCGATGCCATCTACAAAAGGCTCGACATGAGCAACCGTATTTACAAGATGGCGCTAAACACTTGGTCTGATTGGCTCGAGATGAACCTTAATCGAACTAAAACAAAGTTGTTCTTCATGGGCTCATCGCCTTATATCACGAGGTACATATTATGCGTAGCGTCTACATTTGCCATGCGTGTATTATAAGTTATTTTCGACAAAACAAAGAAAGTTTCTTTACGTATTCATCATTTTCGATTTTTGCACGAAACCCGTGTAGAAGCGACACATTGAGACATTGCTACAATAAAAGGGAGCCGATTTCTGAGGAGGATTTTGTGGTTTCGAATCAAACAATGGCGAGTGTATTGGTATCGGCTCTCGAGAGACTCGAGGAGAGAGGGGTAAATGTGGAATATCTTCGCGTGACACGAATGTCCGAATACAGAAGGGACGCACACCCTTCTGTATACCGGTCTTTTCCAATGAACGAGGAGAATAAACGAGACCCCTTGTCCTTTGCGGATTGTTTGCATTGGTGCCTACCGGGAGTCCCCGATTTTTGGAATCGCATCCTCTACGATTATATCATGAAATTGTGATACTTTTCTTATACAGATTCGATTTTACTGTTTTCGTGTAGATGGTTAAACGAACACGAAGTAGTGTCTTTAGTGTTGCCATTATCTTGAACCATTTTCTTGCTATGTGAATTGTAGTACAAGTTCCTCCATGGATTTGTTTGATGGTGGTTTTTGTGAAGAGGATGAACTATTGTTACTACATTATATTTTGATACAAATAGAAATAGCTCCACAAGATTAGTTCATTTTGTGGCTTTGTGAAGTAGGTTAACCAAATCTTATTGCATCCATCTTAATAATATAAAATCTCCAATAGCAACAACATTTGATTAAAATATGACCAAATTTTAAAGCCCTACTTAATTTTTTATCATGACTTTTTATATTGGTGCTTAAAATATGACTTTGTGGCTACATAATTCAAGAAACCCATGTGAAACTAGTAGAAAAAACACAAAATTTTATGCACCCTTGGCACTGCATTTTATAACCACTTTTTAATATTTTAAGTCTTGATTTCAAGAAAAAAAAAAAAAAAAAACAGGGGAAAACAGAGGAACCAAAAAAACAATGAATCAAACAAAGAAAATAAGACTCTATAGCCATTACCTTGCAGCCATTTTCCTCTTAGCTTTAGTCACAGCTGCTATCTATCTCACAGGTGATGAAAATGGAGTTATGCTGCAAAAAACGAGCCCATCAAAATCAGAACAAAATGCCGTTAAGGAAGAGAATACGACACTCAAAGACTCTTTTCCGGGTTGCGATTTGTCTTCGGGCAGTTGGGTTTTCGACAACGTTTCGTATCCTTTGTATGACGAGAGAGAGTGCTCGTTTATGTTCGAGGAGTACGCATGTCAAACGTACGGGAGAAAGGATTCAAAGTATCAGCATTGGAGATGGCAGCCTCATGATTGTGATCTTCCAAGGTTAGTTTTTGATTCACATATGTTATAGGTTAAAAACACCAGACGGGATGATACTGTAACGGGACGGTAGTATTTCCCATTATGGGAAAGAAGGAAAGTATATTATTCGAAACTATGATTTTGCCGTATGTGAATAGGTTTAATGGCAGAGCAATGCTGGAGAAAATAAGGGGAAAAAGGATTGTTTTTGTGGGTGACTCGTTGAATAAGAACCAATGGACATCAATGCTTTGTCTGATCGAGCCTTTTCTTGGTCGAGCCTCGTCTAAATTAGTGACCCGGGAAGGCAATTCGCATGTTTTCCGAGCCAATGTAACTTTTGGAAGAATAGAATTAGGCTATCTTAGTGTAATAGAAATACTCCTCTACCCACGGTGGTCACATGTTAATATGCCCACCACGTAGGTGGCATGCATTCATTGGTGATGTTAATATGTTTAAAAAAATACATCACCAATGGGTGCATGCCACCTACGCGGTGGGCATATTAACATGTGTCTACTGTGGGTAGGTGAGCATTTCTCCTTAGTAGAAATACTCCTCTACCCACGGTGGTCACATGTTAATATGCCCACCACGTAGGTGGCATGCATTCATTGGTGATGTTAATATGTTTAAAAAAATACATCACCAATGAGTGCATGCCACCTACGCGGTGGGCATATTAACATGTGCCTACTGTGGGTAGGTGAGCATTTCTCCTTAGTAGAAATACTCCTCTACCCACGGTGGTCACATGTTAATATGCCCACCACGTAGGTGGCATGCATTCATTGGTGATGTTAATATGTTTATTTACCATTTTACTTTGCTTGAATTTGGTGAAGGAATACAATGCCACAATCGAGTTCTATTGGTCCCCATTGTTAGTCGAGTCGAACTGTGATGACCCAGACGAACATCGGGTGAATGACCGTATAATCAGAATTAAATCCATCGAGAAGCATGCTAGGCAATGGACGAATGCGGATATACTAGTCTTCGACTCGTTTATGTGGTGGCTCGACCCAACTATGACAATCTTGTAAGTAAACGAACTCTATCCTATAGACAAACAATGAAAAGTTTTAGTAGGGAAAGTCATTTCGGGTCTTAGATAAAAGCTTTTTTGTCGTTCGGCTTGTGATGCATTGTATGATTAATATAGGTGGGGATCGTTCGGGAGCTCGGATGCAATCTACAAGAGAGTTGAAATGAGACTCCGTAGATATGAAATGGCGATAAGCACATGGTCCGACTGGCTCGAGATCAACATTAACCGAACAAAAACAAAGTTGTTCTTCACGAGCATCTCGCCTTATCACTTACAGTTACGTTAGGCGCAATTTTTAATTTTTTCGGTAAATTAGTTATTTTTTTTTTTCTAAAATTTGCACAAAGTTGTGATTTACTTCAATTTGTAGTGGCGAAAGGTGGGATGTGGAGCAAAATTGCTATAACGAGACGGAGCCGGTGTTGAAGGATGGGTATTGGGGGGTAGCGACCGATCGGGAGATGATGCAAGCGGTAGAGTCGACTATAGAGAAGCTTGAGAAAATAGGCTTAAAAGTCGAGTATTTGAATGTGACGAACTTGTCGGACTATAGAAAGGACGGTCATCCCTCGATTTATAGGAAATTTCGTCATCCGCCGAGCGATGAGCAGCTGGCCGACCCAAAAAGCTACTCGGATTGCGTACATTGGTGCCTTCCGGGTGTGCCTGATGTATGGAATCATATTCTCTTTTCCCATATTATGAACTCATAAGTTAGGCATATTTATAAGAATATAGATCATAAGAAGATTCAACCAATTTTGTTTTGAACTGACAAGTTCATGGTTGACACAGTTTAATATATCTACTAGCTGATATGATAGAATAGCATACTATAAACGGTGAATATGATATTCAAATATCACGAGAACTTTACATGTGGCTGGTGAATGTGTTCATCGTGCATTTCTTCTGTTTGATTTGATCTTAGCCGTCCAATTCTTGATTATTTTCCTCGTGGCAATTACCTATAACTTGTAAGTATACAATGCTGGCTAATCATGCTATACATTTTGAAAATATATCAATTTTCGTTTAATTATTGTTAAAGTATATATTTGTTTGGGTTTTGATTTAGAATTTTGTCCCAAGAGGAGGGTACACAATCCGCACTGACCGTTGGATTTTTTTTTTTTTTTTT